CCAGGATCAGGCTCCTATCAGGACCTGGCCAATTGCACCAGGAGCAAATTGCAGTTCGCTGAGCTGGCGTCATGCCTAGGTGGCCTTTGGCTAGTGGGTCACAGCCAGGCTGTGGGCAAGGCTGCTCTGTGACACCCCACTGAGCCCAGCCTGGGTGGTCAGACCCATATGTGCAGGCTCCTGCCCATGTTCTTGCAGCTGGCTCCCCGCAACATCACTATATAAGAAGTGGGAAAGGGGGGGCGGTTTCATCTTTATTTTTAGTTTTCCTCATGTCCTAGAAAATATGCAAGCGTAAACAGTGGGTTATGAGAGGACACTGCACCTAATGCAGAGGCTGGCACTGGGCATTGTATGAAAGGCTCCAGGACCATGGGCTCAACCACAGAGAATCCAACTGCCTGTCCCTGCTGGTGGAGGAGCCTGGTCCTGGCACAGGAACAATCCTGTGGATGGATTTTCCAGCAAGATCCATGGATTGCAAACAGTCCTACAAATCAGAGAGGTGTTCAATGTCTTTGTGATTGGAAAGAGCAGGAGGGAGTAGTGAAGCATCTTGTGTTTTTTAGTGGAGATGCCCTAAATCCCAGAGTTTGGGCTAGGCTTTAGAAGGCACATGCTGCCACTGTGTTAGCCTGCTGTTGTAGGCAGGCTGTGACACCTTTAGTAGTTGAGATAAAGGCTGGAGAAGACTTGGTCCTTTCCAACCCATCCTGCTGATCTCTCCGCTGTGGTCCATGCTCCCATGGCTGCACATTCAGGGTCACACACGTGGTACCCTCGGCGTGAGCTGTGCCTCATCACTGGCTCAAGCGCTCCTCCTTCTCCTCTTCCCCCGAATCACAGCCCCAGCAGAGGTGAAGTGTTATTCTGCGAGAGGCTGGCAGTGTGCGGTCTTGGCTGCACTGCTGCTGCCAGCTGGCCATGAGCAGCAGAAACACTGCCCAGGAGACACAATTGCTGCCCAAGTGGGTGAGAAGGCAGTCTCCAAGAGGAGGATTCAGCATGGGCCTGGGGTTAGGAAAAAAACTGGTAGAAATCAATAACTGACCCCTTAATAAATAATTCTGCAAGCTCTAGCAAATGCACATGTGCTATCTTGCTCCAAAGGTCCTGTAAAGCCCTAATTGTTGCAGTCTGTGGCCCAGCTTCCAGCTGTTGGAGGAGATGCAGATCTCCAGCTGGAAGGTTTGCTCTGGTCTCCCACCCTCTGGCTGGTGGGTCTACTGTGCTCCCACTGCCCGCATACCCAGTACTATAGGTGCAAAGTATACCACTACATGGTTTGTCTTGTGCCATGTCCATCACCAAGTCCATCCCGTTAATGCATGCAACAGGATCTCCCTCATAGACCTGAAAGCTAAATTAGTGAGACTCATTTATTGGTGATCTTAGCTGTCCATGCTCAATTTTGCCTCCTTACTGGTGTGAGTGTACTGCATGGGGAAAGAAGGTTCCTGGGTGTGGAGAAGACCTGTTGGGCACAGCAAGGAAAAGTGACGTGAACATGCATTGCACCTTGGTTTTTTTTATTTATCTCTTTTTTATTCCCCCTAATGCTCATTAAAATGAGAATTTGCCAGCACTGATGCTGTATCCAGCTGAATGCGTGTGCTTCTTGGCTCCCAGCAAGGTCCTCGCTGCAGATACCGTGTGCTTTGGCAGTCAGGCCAGTCTGGCCTGCAGGATATTACGTCTGGCAGGGACACAAGCCCCTTCCGGTTCCTGGAATTTGGATTGTCTCGTGGAGTGCTGATTAAGCAGTGCTTTCAGTCTCCACCAAGACAAAACCCTTGCCTTGTCTCTGCACAAAGGCTTGGTATGGCTCGGCTGCTGCGTGGCAGCAGGACCTGTAATGGGTTTGCCCTCCCCAAGCCCCAGGGAAACACAAAATTCTCCAATGCAAAGCTTTGCAGCTTTCGGTGCTGGACAAGCATTTGCTGCTCAGGGCTCTGTCTTCTGTGAAATAATAAATAATTGAAAAGACCCTGCCCATTAAAACAGCCTCAGTGTCCTTCCTACCTTGCTGAGCACTTGACGGCAGCTGCTCCTCCCAGTCTGCCCAGCTGAGATCACTGCTGTGTCCCCCCATCTGGCTTTCTAATCCACTGGGAATGAAACTGCCTTTCCCAGCCCTGCTAATGAGAGATTTGATAGCTGAGTTAAGTAGATGGAGGCAGCCCCGGCATGTGCTGTCCCGGTGTGGTACGAAGGAAGGGCTGTCCTGCCACTGGCTTCTGGAGCTGGCACTCACCTCTGCATAGGGGTGAACATAAAATAGGAGTGTTGGTAGGACTGGCAAACTGGGGATGGGGCTTTGCCCAGCACCTGCAGAGAGGTGGTTGGTGTTTTGGGGTGGTCTCATGCTGAGAAGGTGAAGTTGAGTCATTTGGACCCTCTGCAACAGGCAGCCTGGAAAGCTGGTGGGCTTTGGGAGCCACCCTGACACCCTGGTGTGCCCAGCACCATCATCCACAGCATGGCATGGCCCCCAGCAATGTGTCCCACCCTGCCGGTTCATGGGGTGCTGCTGCTCTCTGCACTGAGGGGTCCCCTCTTGCAGCGCAGCAGTGGGGCCAGACATGCCTTCCCTGTCTCCTTGCTGGCACAATCACCATCCCACCTGCTGGGTGGAGAGTGGATGGAAACATCCTTCCAGCACATGTCTCCAGCTTCCTCTCTGCACCCGCAGCATCTTGAGTTGGTTTACAAGAGAGCAGATGCCAGAAAAAATATATACAGGGAATATATATATACATATATAGCAGCAGAGTTTCGCAGCAGGGTGAGGCTGCATTGCTATAGCACAGCAGCATCTGGGCATTATCCCTGTTCCATGCTTGGGTCTGCTCCTCCTTGAGCTCCTGGTCGGCTTCTGTTGCACTGTGTGTCTCGGGGTCTGTGGATGCAGCCGGCCAGGCTCTGGGATGTGCCCTCAGTTCTGGCACGGGGCAGGAGTTGCATGGCCAGGATTCTAGATTCCTGTCCCAGTCAAAACAATAAGGATGAGAAGCAATGATGGGCTGCTGCTGTAGGCCTGCCTTCACCTCTCCTCGTCCTCTGCATCCTCCTTGTCTGAGCAGCATGTTCCCCCGGGCACACTTCAGTCTCAGCTCCATGCCTCTGTCTCCATGCCTCTCACCAGCTCAGGAGAGAGAGTCTGGCCTCGGTGCTCCCCTTCATGCTACCAAAAAGCCAAATCTTGGCTCCAAACCTCCCTGTGTTCTGGTGAACGTTGGTGAGGTGTGGAGTGAGCACCTTGCTTTACCTGGGGTACCATGACAGGGGGACAATGGCAGCAAGCCCTGCTGTGGCTCACAGGCAGACGCTCGCACTGGCTTCAAGCGTGGTGGGAGGAAGAGGAGATGTAACAGGCATCACAAGCAGCTTCTTCAGCCTGCCAGGCTTGCATTTTTGTGATAATTCAGCAAGCTCCGGGCATTGTGACCACTGGGATGTTATGGGGAAACATACTCGATGCTGTAGGATTATCTACAGCTTTCAGATTCTGCAGCCATTTCCCCTCCCTGGAGACAGAAACCTGGGGGAGCACAGTCCGCAGAGGAAGGGCTCTTTTCCCTGATGAGATGTCCCTGGCCAGGCATTGCCAGCACAGGTTATACAGGGGATACAGGCAGAGCCCCTGTGGGCTGTGGCAGACCCCAGTCCTTGGGTAACTCACTCAGCAAGTGGCTTCATTTCTAATGGGGAGAGCTGCTGGCCCAGGGACATACATGGTCACCAGGTCCCCTCCCAGCCACCTCCGGCAAAGGACATCTCTGCCATCTGCTCAGCTCACACCAAAGCAGGGTGACCCTCAGGGCTCCTGGGGCAAAACCCCCTCCACATCCCTCCCCGACCTGGATTCGCTTCCCTAGACACAGCTCCCAGCGAGACCCCAGCCTGGGTGGGATGAACGGGGCAGAGACAACTGGGAATCGTGTAGGTAGCTCATTAAAAACCCCAGCCAGCAGCCGACAGCAGTCCCTATGCCCCCTGCAGAAGCGAGCAGGGCTCTCCTGCCGTCCCCCCGCCGGCCCCGCGCACGGCTCAACGTGCCTGCGTGCGCGCCCGTGCGCGCCGATGCATCCAGCAGCCTATAAATCTCCTAGCAGGGCTCCTTCTGAACTTCAGGACATTCCCCGGGGGAAGAGTTAAGATGCAACTTTTGCGTCAGATGCGGCGGCGGGCTGCCCGGCGGGGCTAGGAGAAGCCTCTCCCCTGCAGCTGCCCCAGCAGGTTGTTTGCAAAGGTCAATCCCACCGGCTGCAGCCACCGCCGCCGGGCTTGGCTGCTCTTGGCTCAGTCCTCAAGGTACGTAGTCGGGGAAACATCCTCCCCGCTGCTCCGGGAAAGGGCTGGCAGGGATGTGAGGAGGTGTATCGGCTCACAGATGAGGGGATATTCCAGCATTTTTATACTTTTTTTTTAATTATTCCGGTTTTGCGGTGGTTTATTTTTCTTTCCCCGAGTCTTTAGGATTTCTCGCCGATGCTTTTAAATCTTGCCGTGCATTTCTTTATCTGTGTGAGATTTCCATTTGTGCTGGGGATTCACTCAACGCAAATGCCTGAGAAGTTACAGGGCAAGTGTCTGCAGCGAATATCTCAGCATGCTCCTAATTTGCCCCTGCCTGGCAGGTATGTGCAATAAATGAAAAAATGAGGGAGATTTTGTATGATTTTTTTTTTAAAGAAACAAAAAGAAAACCAGTTCCCTGGCTATCTATGCTAGTCTTGGGGAATTTGCTGTGATAAATGAGGTTATCAAAGAGATTAATTTTTTTAAAGTCATTATTAAAAGAAAAAACCTAAAACTATAAAAAGGGAAATTAATTTCCATCTTTTTTGGGGAATTGGTGTTTGCAAACCTGAGCGGTGCCTGTGTTGCTTCTCTCCTAGATCCACACACCAGCAGCAGGGACCAGTGATCCACCCTGTCTTTACTTAATTCTGTGCGGGAGCAGAAAGTCACTGATCGACCCCACTGGCCGGGCTAGCATGACTGTGCTCAACTTGCACCTGTACCTCACCGCCTTGGGCTTCTGGATGACACATCAGGGCAGCTCCTTCCTGCTGCCCAATGCCACCGAGGTCCTGTCTCCCTCCGGGGACAGAGCTGTGGGCCTGCTGTGGGGCGTGGGGGTTCCCCGGGGCCGTCGGAAGCGATACCTCTCCCACGGTGACATGAGCATGATTTTGGACTATCACAACCAAGTGCGGGCAGAGGTGTCTCCCCCCGCTGCCAACATGGAGTATATGGTGAGTCGGACTCCGGCAGGGTGGTTTTGGGTCCACTGCTCTTGGCTGCTGCAGTGGGGTCGAGGGGCTCACTCATGATGTGGGTACCCAGCCTGGTAGGGACGGGGTACCCACACATTGGGATGTCACGGTGCTGCCCCTGGTTTGCAGCTGAATGCTTGCCCTGGGGGACGTTTCATGTCCCTGCTGCAGGGCAGACCCATGCAGCCTCTGTGCGCAAGGGATAGAGTCCCAGCGGGGTGACACCACTGGTCCTGTGCCTGGGACAGCAGCTTGCCGGCTGCGGGATGGCAGGATCTATCCAGCCGAGCTGCAGTAGGGGAAGGGAAGTGGCTACAAGCATGAAAAACTCGGGTTCCAACCAAAAGCCCAGGAGGGAGCCTCTCCCACTCCACCCAGGAGGGGCTGCCCTGTTCCAAGCTCCAGGGTCCCTTGAGAGCGTGCCCAGGGATGCCAGCCCCTAGGAAAAGAAACATGCAGGAGTGGCTCAGAGAGCAGCTGCACAGCCACACGAGGTTGGGCACCTTCTCTGCACCAAGACCACCCTGGGCAGAGCTTTCCTCAGGTTGCTTCCTCTCTGTCTGGAGCTCCTAACCCATCCCTAAAGGGAGGAGAAATGGGGAGCTACCAAGAGGAGGGATTTTCAGCCGGCAGAAAGTGGGACTCTTGGGGCAGGAGATGCCATGTACTGCTTTGCTCCCAGGGAAGGGAGCTCCGATGGAGCAGCTGAGTGGTCCCTGAATGCTGGTTTGGGAGAGACAGGCAGCTGCCTCACTTGCTGGGTACCAGAGCAGGTCAGACATGCCCGGGAGCATCCTGCGCTGCTTCTTACTTGGCCTAAATTCCTGCCTTCCAAAATAACTCTTCCAGGCATCTCCCCAGTGCAGTTCAGGATGGGTGAGGAACCTTTAAATAATGCATGAAGGAAGTAGCTGTCCTCACCAGTCAGTCTGCGGCCAGGGCTGGGGATGGTTGTGAGCAGCAGCAGCAGCAGCAGCGCAGGGCTGTGGGGTTTCATCCTTCTGCAGAAGGAGCTCATTCCCAGAGGGAATCACACACACACAGGGCTTGCACTGCATCAGGACACCCATACTCTGCCTGGGCAGCAGGCATTGAACATGCCCAGGAGCTGTGGTGGGCAGCTGGGGTGGTTCATTGCTCCTGGACACACTACCATGCTTCCCCTGGGCTTTTTCCAGCCTGACGTGTGAGTCATGTTTTTTGGACATCCATGGGTGCTCAGAAAGTGCCCTGAACCCAAAGGGGTGGGTTTCTCCTCTTCCTTCCTCTGGGCAGCCAGAATCCCTGCCTGCCTTTTTCCTTTTCTCCTGGCCAGGTGTGGGATGAGCGGCTGGCCAGGGCAGCGGAGGCCTGGGCTGCGCACTGCCTGTGGGACCACGGGCCCCCCCAGCTGATGAAATACATGGGGCAGAACCTCTCCATCCACTCAGGCAGGTAAGTTTCCTGTGGGTAGAGCTGGCTCCTTGGGGACCCCCTGTACTCCACGATGCTGGAGGAGGAGGAGGAGCAGCAGCAGCCCCTCAGTCAAGAGAGGTGTCTCTCAGGTGTCTCCAGTGAGGGCCAGGTCTTCTGGCCTTGGGCACAAGTGGCCTTGGCACAAGGACGTCATTGCCCTGTTCCAGCCTGCTTCTCTCCTCACTTCCCTCAACATGGAGCTTTCCTCCCACTCCTCCCCCTTGCCCATGACCTCTGAGGCCCACCTTACACATGGTACCTTTTGCAGGTATCGCTCCATTGTGGACATGGTGAAGTCATGGCACCAGGAGAAGCAGCACTACTCCTTCCCCCATCCCCATGAGTGCAACCCTCGCTGCCCCTCCAAATGCAGCAGCTCTGTCTGCAGCCACTACACGCAGGTGAGCACCACAGCCCCCTGCATCCTTCCTTAACTCCCCACAGCCCCCTGGTACACAGCTACAAACTGGAGGGCAGCTCAGAGCACGTTGGGCTGCCGCAGTGCCCGGTGCAGCCAGCAGCCACTCTCCCTGGCCCTTCTCTCCATGCTGCCAGGATCTGATCCCAGAGGCAGCTGCCTCCTTCAAATCAGGCAGTGGGGCTGACAGAGGGGGGCAGGCAGCCAGCAGCGATGCTCTCCCACCCTGGTCCCTTGCAGGAATTGTGCTGCTTGCATGGAGGTCCCAGGGGCTTCCAGCCCACTGAAGCAAAGCTGGGACCTTCTAGCCAGCTGGATAGGAGGTTTTCACTTTTTCTAAAGTTGTTTTTTTCCCCCCTGCTTTGATCTTTTTCTCCTCTTCTTGCACCTCAAAGAGGGTGAAGTGAAAAAAAAATCCCCTTTGTGCTTTTGCCAAATGTGAATCCTCTCCTCTGTGATGGAGTGGCTTTATAGCACCCAGCTGTGCTCAGCTCCCCAGGAGTGCAGCTGCTTCATCCCCTGGCACATCCACCATCACCCTGGCTGGCACAAGGTGGAAAACCTCCCTCAGCTACCTGCCTAGTGATAAAACTGTGCCAACCCCTAGTTACTTCCTCTGCATGGTTCCAAGCTTTCCTAGAGCATCTGCATCCCCGTAGGGATGCTTGGGGATGCTCCAGGTTGCAGATGGGCAAAATACATTTTTTTAAGGAAGAATTTCAGCCTGGAGAGGCTTTAGGAGAAGATGCTGGTTCTGTTTCACCTGCCTGTGTGCAGGGTAACCTGCCAGTGATGATTCAGGGTGAGGTTTGGGAACTGATTTGGGTTAAGTCAGAGAAGTGACCCAGACTTTGCTGCTCATTTAAGTGAGCTTGGCAAGGCAGCCCCTTGCAGGGCAGCACAGGCTGCAGGCAGAAGAGGAACAGTGAGAAATCACCTCTGGTGACAAACCCCTGCCCATGATGGGCACAGCAACTAGCCTGAGCAACTTGGGTGGGCAAATTGGGATGCAGTTCGCTGGTGGGATGGAGCCCTGTGCTGGGTACCCAGGATGATCGGCTGTGGGACGCCTGGGTGGGCGGTCACCAACAGCGCTGTCTTCTGTTCCGACGCAGATGGTGTGGGCATCCTCCAGCCGCCTGGGCTGCGCCCTCAGTGCCTGCACCAACGTGCGGGTTTGGGGCAGCACATGGCGACATGCTGTCCTCCTCGTCTGCAACTACGCCATCAAGTAAGTGCCCCCGCGCCATCCTCCTGCCTCGCCAGCTGCTCTGGTGTCAGTGGAGAGGCAATGGTACTCAGAGATTATGGTCTCTTCTCTTTTTAGGGGCAACTGGCTGGGAGAAGCACCGTACAAGGCGGGGCAGCCGTGCTCAGCCTGCCCCCCTGCCTACGGCGGAGGCTGCTCCAACAACATGTGCTTCACCGGACTCAAATCCAACCAAGTCAGCTGGTTCTAGGGCTGCAGCCCAGTGAGGAAGCCCCCAGGGGTGGAGATGGGGTGAACCAGAATTATTTATAACACTGTGTGTCCCCCCAGCTGCTTTGGCTGTCTCTCAGCCCCCTCCCTGCACCATGTTAGGTGGCTCACAGCAGCCCTGCTTCCCAACCTGCTTCACTCCAGAGCCACATAGAAAATGGCTTTTTTATCACACTTCCTCCGACCACTCTTGCATTGTCCAGCTGCTTCCCACGTTCGGGGAAATTGGGATTGTTCTGGTCCTCATTTCCCAAAATAGTGGTGGTTTGGAGGTGTGTGGAGGCTGGCATGGTCCATCAGGGGGCTTTCTCCACTGCCCACTGCCTGTGCTAAGGCAGTGGCCAGTGGTGTGAGTGAATACCAAGATGTTCCCCTCACAGCAGGTGTCTGGAGAAGTGAGGAACCCTGATCATGCCCCCCTGCTCCATGGCTGTCCCTCTGGCCATAGGGCCCCCAGCTCTGAGCCCCCCAATAAAGCAGCCTGGAGACCCCTGTGTTCATGTTGGTCCTCCCTCTCTCGCGACCCGGAGCCTCGGGGTAACACCGAGCTCTGCTTCTGGGGGTAAAGACCCAAGGAGTGCAGAAGCCCTCAGTGGGGCCACAGGCCATGGCCGCAGGAGTTGCCTGGGCGCTTTGCTCCATCGTGTGGGAGAAGCCAGCACTGCTGGGACACCTGGTGAGAATGATACTGGAGCCACAAGCCCCTTGTCCCCCCCAAGGCTGCCTCATGCCACCCCACTGCCCTGCATCACCCCCAGTGCTGCTGAGCACTCCATTCTCTGCATCCCCTCCCTTTCTAGGACTTCCCAGCACTCAGCAAGCTCAGGGGGTCCCCAGATTCGCAGTCTTTGGGTGTGAGCCCCCAGCTATGGATTCCCACACAGCAGCCCATTGCATTTCAGTAGTCCCCTCCCTGCTTGCCTTTCTGTCTGCTCCCTTGGGATGCCTTTTCCCAGCCAAAGGAGCAGATGTGCCTGATTTTCTCCCCTTGAGGCTGCAGGGTTTCAATAACTGGGATGCTAGGAGGTCCTGGGACTGGCAGAGAACCCTCGGTGCTTTCTCCAGCCTGGTCCCTTCCTGAGATGTACAGGAGAGGCGGAAGGCCCTGAACTGCCAGCCAGACAATTTTTACACTCTAGCTCTGGATCCCCCATATATTTGGGATAATTTCAGAAACTCATCTTGCACAGCCCCCTCCTCGCTTCAGCACAGTTCCCCGGGAGCAGGGACTGCTCCTGTCATGGAGCCGCCAGCAGCACAGGGTCTCTGCCTCAAGGTTGGGGACTGCATCTAGACATGATGACACCCTGGACCATGAGGTCACTGAGGCTTCTGGATGCGGTCCCAGAGGAAGCACAGATGTCCATGAGTGGCTGCAGCACCTTGTGGGTCCTCCCAATATGGGGAGCAGAGGGAGACAGGAAGGAACTGCAAACACCTGGCACCCTGGTCCCATGCTCACCCTGCATCCCACCGCGCATCCCTGCAGCTCCCTATCCCCAGGTGACCCCTCTGGTTTCGTACTGAGGAGACAAGGCCTGACCCATGGCCGGGGTGTTTCATCCCTTGTGCCTTGGCCAGGCTCTGCCCTGCCTATGCCAGCCTGTGCCAGCCCCCACAGCTCATCCCATGGCCCCTGCCCGCAGGCAGGCTCACCCAACCCAGGCAGGTGATGGCACCAAAACCAGCAGCACCCAGAGCACTGTAGAGCCAGATCTGGGCACCTCATCCCCCCTACGACTGGGGGTGAACCCCAGCCCAGCGGCTGCCCTGGCCTTGCCACCAGGTGGAAACGGGAGCCCCAAAAGAGTCCACTAAAAGCCATGTTTGAGTTTCTAGCTTGGCAGCAGTTACTATAGCTACAGCAACGGCACCTTGCAGATTGGTTTCCATAAGAGCTTGGTTACTATTTAACATCTCCACCCACATTAGCCCTGATTAAGCGAATCAATAAGATAACAGGAGAGGCAGGTTTCCTCGCCCTGCCCCTCCACACTCCCTCCTGCCTTCACCTAGTTCCTTAGTGAAAGACATTTTTATTTATTTATTTAGATTTCTTTTTATTCCTCCACTTCCTCTGGTTGTTGCCCCAAGTCCCCATAGCAGTAGCCGGCGAGACATGGTCAATGTAAGCACCCAGCTAAGCGCTAAGATGGAGGCTCCATATGGTGAGTACAGCGTTTCCATCGCCCGCGCTGCCGCCCTTGCTCACGGGAAGTGGGACTGGGAGCGGGCAGAGGCCCCCAGCCCTGCACCCTGGCTCCGCTGCGCTGCCTGGTCTCTGCCTGCTCAGGCACCTGCAAAAGGAGATGGAAGCAGAAAAATTAATTTTTATATTATCTATATATATGTATTTATATAT